CTAGCTGACTGCTTTTCCCACATGGGAGGCTTACCCACACCGGAGCGTGCCTCCTGATCGTACCATCGAGCTGGTTTGTGTCGATCCTTTGAACTCCATGAGTTGTAGCTCCATTGTTGTCCTTTATTACGGGCAGCAACAAAGACATCAGCCAGTTTAGCAGCCTGGGTCACTCTGTCGGATCCAGACTTGAAGCTCAGGGGACAAAATTCTCAAATATTGATGTAGTCTGATTATTTCATCAATTTCATGTATGGCTTTACCTTTTAGTTGGATCCATTTCCCATAAAGCTCCTTGAATCTTACATACAACTTCTTGGGGCTCTCGTCAGGGTTAAACTCGAAAACGAAATCTTTGCCTGTAGGTCTCAGGGTTGATGTCATACTTAGAAAGAATAGCAGATTTTAGGTGGTCATAGTCAAGGGAATAATCAATGTCCATATGCCCATAAGCACCTCTAGCTTTGTCAGTAAACAATGGTAACAAATGAAAACCCCAATCTGCTTTCTGCCACCGGCATGCTATAGCAATCCGTTCAATGTCATCATTGTCCGTTAATTTTTCCATTCTGAGCTCATGCGAGACTGACCTGCAAGGTTTGGATGGGCAGCCATGGTAAAAGGCTCAGCTTGCGCCCGAGGATGGTTGTTGGTGGATGGTAAGACTTCCACATCTGATGGATCAGGGTCTGCGGACAGAGAGTCTGGTACTGGAGATGTTCTGGCCTTAACTTCTAACTGCAAAAGCTGAAACTGCTGTTGCATTGTTTTAAAACGCTGTTCCTGTCTTGTTGTTATCTCGCTCTGCTTTGCCGCTTGAGCCTCCGTCTGCCCCATATGAGCCTGAAGCAGGGCCACCAGGTCCAACATGGATGGCTCCTTACCTTCACCGCTTTCTACCACTCCAGAGGCCCCATTGTCCTCCTCTTCACTATTGGCTTGCTTCTCCTGGACATTTGAAAGGGGTTTCCTTCCAATTTTCCCTCCACGCTGCATAATTTTTTTAAAAAGAAAAAACCTGTGTCCTCCACTGAATGATCACCACTGCCACCAATTGTCAGGAACCAATCAGTAAGGCAACAGGACTCGAGTGGTTTAAATAAACTGGGTTTTTTTATTTACCCAAAAGTCCAAAGAAAACATCATCAATCAATAATTTCTAATAAGTAGGCCTATAAAATAGGTCAACAAACTGACCTGCTACAATGAAAAACCAAGGAACCTATATAGTGGCTTAGCCAAACCAAGTTGAAACCAAGGGATAATTAATAGTAACAGAATATACAAAGGACACTGACAAAACCCAAATCCCCCCTTTGACATGGAAGCAGGTGGTTTGTCAAACTCAAGAGACAAAGAAGGTAAATACTACAGACAAATACTTGTGTTAGCTGTGCTAAAATGTTTGAAATAATGTCAGATTACAATCAAATAAAGAGTTTACCATTTAAAGCAAATGTGTGGTGTTAATCTATCCAGACATAAACAATAACATATGATTAGGTTTGATCATGATCTATTCTACAGTATGAGGGCATTCAGTGTGGAAACCCAGCATTTTCAACATTTCTTTGTGTATTTGGAACATCATTTTGTCCTAAACACATTTGACAAGATTTGGGAATAGCTGCTGTATGTTAAATTGTCTAGATTGAGTTATTCCTGTTCAGTGAAAACTGAACTGAAATTTGGCACTGCTGAACTGCAAATGTAAGGACAAGTATTGATACTAAAAGAGCTTTTCAATAAAACAACAACACAGAGTGCAAAGCTGTCAGGTTCTATAAAGAACTACAAGAGGCCTCACAAACACAGCTAGTATTTCTCTCTGGACCGTAACCAAAACACCTATAAAGAATTTATAAAGACATGTCAATACCCCTGCTCAACCTGAGGCCTTTCAACCAGTCGAACTTCCCTTCTGTTTTGTAGAAACATGAGGAGAATAGTGATTCAAAAATAGTGTGCTATATTTTTATTATATTTTAAAGAAGGAAAATGTAGTACATTTAGTTGAAATTGATTTAGTTATATATCAAACCAGACTTCCACATTCATATTTGACTTCTTCTTGAGGAAATTCAAATGTCTGACACACACATCAATAACTGATGTATTGGTAATGCAGACCAACTAACTGTGTTTATAATTTATTTGAAAAATATATTCATAGCCCTGCGTCTGTCTTTTTGGTGGCACAGCAGTTAAATCTATGATTCATGAAAATATTTAATTTCACATGTAGTTAAGAATAATATGTGTGGCAGACTTCAGAACAAGTGTGAGCAAAACAATCAAAAAAAGGCCAACAGATCTTACTGATCGTAACGTTGCCATGCCATAAAGAAAAAAACCTTGACAGAGTGCAGAGTTCCTTGTTGCCCTGTTAACAGTGGCCAGATAACAATATGTCATTGACTTCGACAGATTGTCTGTTTTTGGAATCCTGGTTACCATCTTGTATCGCCATTTGTGTGGGACTTGTCCCCCCAAGTTGAGAATCATAGCAAACTATTAGACCAGTTGTAATGAGATCTAATCAAAATTCACCAATTGGAGACAAAATACATTTCCAAAATATTATAAGTCAGATCACATTGAACTTAATAGTCAGCTACTGATTCAGCATTATTTTAGAAGTTATCGCAAGCTGGTTTGTTACCTTCTTTGTAGTTCTTGAATCAGAGTTACTCAGGTACTATTGCCTGCCAATAACTCTTTAACCATCGGTTCAGATTTGTTACTTACTCATTCCTCAGTGAATACTCAGGATTTTGTAAACTTCCATCAATCAAAGTTTATTTATATAAACCAATATCACACATTTTACATGTGTCTCAGTGGACTTTACAGTTTGTAAAGAATATGAATATGACACCCTCTGTCCTTTGACCCTAACATCAGAAAAGGAAACACTTCCAAAGAAACCCCACAGTTAATGGGGAAAAATGGAAGAAACCTCAGGGAGAGCAACAGAGGAGGGATCCCTTTCCCAGGACGGACAGACGTGTAAATTGCAACATAGGTAGTCCAAATGTTTGGAAATACATGTGTCTATGTTACGACCCTGGGTCGTTAAGTATATTGTGTGCAGATATTTCTTCCTCCTCCTGTGTCTGTATGGCTGTGTGTGATTAAACAGGTGGTGCCAGGTAGCAGATTGGCTGCCCTCGACAGGCTGATTGGTCCACCTGAGGAGACGGGAGCATATTAAGCTGCAGCCGTGCAGTTCCTCGGCCGCTCTCTCTGACTCGACTCCTCCTACTCCCAAACAATTGCGTTAAAGATATCTGTCCTGTTGTGCTGTGTACGCATTTGTTACCGTATACCTGTCCTTCCCTTCTTGTGGTGAGACTTGAGGAAAAAAGCTACTTTACCTGACTTTGCAGACACGCTTTATTTTGTTCTCAGGAGTGCAAAACCATTTTCTTTTGATTCATTTGTTTTCTCCTGTTTTTATGCTAGAGTAGGTAAGAAGCCTGTACGTTTATTTTTGTCTCATTCGTTATGTAAGATTTTTGTGTTAAAAGGTTTATTTGTTTTGTGGTTTTGTTACTCCTGTGTGTGTATCATTTTGGTAATTGAATTTACCAAACGACATTCCCTTGTCTCTGCGTCCGTGTTCTTGGGAGTGGGAAAAGTGGGGAGAGTGCAACTTTATCCTGCACCTAGGATCCCCTAGACCTGGACGTAACATCATAATAAGAAGATGAATCCAGGAGGATGTCAACAATCCTGTGGGAGCCATCAGGGAAGTAGTATGATGAGAGTTAGGCAGGACCACAGTGACAGGTTCAGCCACGACTCAGGACCCCAGCGTAGACAGACAACAAAAATACATTTCGGGGAAGCTGGGTTATTCGGAACATGAGAGAACACAGGTACAGAGAGAGAGAAGGAAGAAGTAAGGTGTCCCCTGACAGTCTAAGCCAGGGGTTCTCAACCTTTTTTGGGCCAGCGCCCCCCTGTCCATTATCCAGGTCTCTTACCGCCCCCCATCAAAAAAAGTAGACTTATTTTCTTCCCTGAATATTAATTTGGACTAATATTCTGTGTTATATCATTTAAAAAGCATGTCACTGAATGCCAAATAATAGATTTGATTTAACTGGGCAGTTGGAATATCATTATCATTAGTTTACCAGAGAGCAGAAAAGCCATGTGAATGTGAATAAAAATGATATTTATGAGTGTTAAACAAACTCAGACAAGAGCAGAGAATACAAACAGACTGCTACGGAACAGCAGCAATTTCACACATGTCCAGTGCAGAACAAACAGTAGGCTACAAAACTGTACATTAGGCCTACAGAACTAACAGGTCGGAAAGGTGTTGCATTTCGCCAAATTGCGGGGGGGGGAAGGTTAGTGTGAGCCCTGCGCTTGGTGGTTCTCCGCCAGTTTCTTCACTGCTGGTTGCAGAGAACTTAGTTTCAGTCGCAGTGCACCTGAGGTCGTCAAGTTCAAGCGATTGCGGTACTTGGACTGCATGTGGAGGACCTGGCTGAATCCCTGCTCCACGAGGTATGTGGTTGGGAAAGCCAGAAGAAGCAGCCTCGCTTTCTCCCAGAGAGCCGGGTAACGCTGAGAGTATTTGACCCACATGTTGCCCCAGCCAGAGGTGCGGAAAATAGCCTGGGCCTCATCGTCACTCTGGATGTCGATGAGATGCTCCTGTATTGCTGGCTCGCATTCCGCCACGTCCGCCTGAAAGGGCTGCACCACCCAGGTGGGAACATCGAGGTCCAAAAGATCTCTGAAGCGGATCTTCAAGTCGGCATTCACCATCCTCAGGTGGTCTGTGTAAATGAGGAGGCGCTCATCGGTAAGAGCCTCAGACACCTGCAATGAGTATAACCAGGAAATTGTTATCGGTGCAGAATGTTACCATCCGATTTTAAACTGGTTATTTTATTGCTAATTAGTTTACTAATTGATGTTTCTTTATTCTCATAATACATTCAGAAAATAAGTTATTTATACTAACCAGGAACACAAATATAGTGTTGCATAGAGTAGCCTACATTTATTACATGTATTATTTATTATAATCATTATTTAGTAGCCTAGGGTAGATCACCTTGGTCAACAGCGGGAAATGAGCAAACTGCCTCCTGCCTATGCTCTGCCGGTATAGATCCAGCCTGGAGGTGAGACTGTGGATGACCGCCTTGCTCTGGATCAGAGTAACTCCTTTTCCTTGGAGCTTCAGCGTGACTTCATTCATTTTGCCAAAGAAGTCTGCGAGGTACATGATGTCGCAGCGGCTGGATGACACCTGTTCCCCGAGAGCTGCATCCACCTCCTCCAGGAACTCCACGATGCTGTCAAACAGCTCACAAAAACGAGCAAGGCAGTTTCCTTTTGAGAGCCAGCGGACATCAGTGTGGAGAAGAAGACGCTCAAAGGTCTCATCATTTTCCTGACACAGCTGTCGGAACAATCTGTTATTCAGGGCGTGGGCTTTTATTTTGTTTATTGCCTTTACTGCAACATTGAGAGACTCGTGGAGAGGTGGACTTTTAGATTTGGCCACAAGGTTGTGGCGGTGCAAGACACAGTGGACTGTGAGGACATGCGGGACCTGCTCCTTCAGCAGAGTGGTGAAGCCACGGTACCTGCCAACCATGGAAGGGGCACCGTCAGTAGCACATGTGAGGATGTTGTTGATCGGGATTGACTTCTCCTGTAGATAAGCATCCAGTGCATTAAAAATGGTCTGGCCCTTGGTGTCTGTGACCAGATATTTGGAAAATAAAAATTCCTCAGCCATCTCCTGACTGTTGGAGGTGCTATAGCGGACATAGGCCATCAACAGAACATTGTTGTCAGAAGTGGTTGTCTCATCCAGCTGAAGGCTGAATGGAGTTTCCCGCAGGATGGCACACAGCTGCTCCTCTGTATCAGCCCCCATTTCATCAATCCTGCGTGCTACGGTGTCATTACTGAGTGGGATGGATTTCAGCACCTGTGTGGGATCACGCTCCATCACAGTAGATATGACCTCTTTGATGGCAGGGAGTACCAACTTCTCTCCGATTGTGAACGGCTGCCCACATTTGGCTATCAGCAAGGAGATGTTATATGACGCTATTAGCC